ATGTGAAGAACAAGAAACACTGAACTGTAAAATGTTAAAATGAGAAACTAAATAGAAAGCAATCTAATACTCTACCACTCAAAATCAGTTAGGCTACATTTAGTTTAGTTTACTGATGTCCCACATCTGCAAAACAATAAAGTTCACAATAGCTACGCTGCACAGCTGTGGTTTAAAGTCTCTCTCTGCACACAACACTGGCAGCAAAGCAAAAACAATTAATTTTTAAATGCTTCTAACATATGGGCCAGTTAGATGCAGGAAAGCCTCTATGTTCAGAAAGAAAGTATTTAGCTTCCATTGCTTGACCCAAATTCTTACAAAATGTAAATTGTGCTTCATCTTTAAGTAGAGAGATTCTAATTACAATGGCTTGTTTCTCATTCATTTGATACAGAGCACATGCAGTTATCTCTTAGAAAATAAATAACAGAAAAGTACCATTATATAATGATTTAATTGCAGGATAAATTAGAAAAGAAAAAGGTGTATTTGAGTCTTTTGCTCTATAATGATCTATGGAAGTAGAAGACAAGATCCTTTAAGTCCAAGTGGACTTAAAGCATACTTTATTTCAGTGATTAAGGGTGATGTACATAAAGCCAAGAGATCTTTTCTGCTAGTACTTATGACCAAAGAAAGTGCTTTTGCTCAGTAAGAAGTCGAAGTAACTAACATGACAAACAAAATAATGGTTAAACTGAAAAAACAGGGCAAAACATCCGAAGATTTCAACTGGTCATATTTACGCCCAGTAGTGTAGGTTTGCAGGATTTACATGCAAGAAAATCCATTTGCTTCTCTCTGTTTCTGAGTCTTCATGAGCTACTACTTTCTATCAAGCTTACAGATAAATTACTATTGAAATAGTACTCATTAGATTGGGAAATTGCCAAGGATCAGTGAAAAAATCATTAAATGATTCTTCAAGAGACTCTAGTTAATGTGTTTTTTAGTATCCATAAAGAAAGCCTGGAATATTTCTCCTTCACATTCTCTCTCAGCACATGATTAGCTGGGTTTGTTTTTATTTTTGTTAGTAGACATATTTTTGTTTGTTTATTTTGTTTTCTTCTGAGGACTCAAAGATGCTAGGTTAACACAAACAAAAGAGATTAAAAACGACTGGGAAGCAATCTTTAGGTAGGTTGACTAAAATTAACTTGTCTTTAAAAAAAAAAGAAAAAATTTCCTCATAGTCTGGACAAAAACATCCCTGGATAAAATGTCACTGTCCTTACTCTCCAATGAAGGCAGTGAAAACTTTCACCTCAGTTCTCATTAATAGATTATGCTTGAAAATCAAGGCAACATGGAGAATGAGTATGTATTAGGAATGGGATATAACTGTGCAATGGGTTATATACTGATACCAGGTCATTCTGGACACATGAGCAAGAGCAACTGATACAAATTCACTAGATACGACCCTGCCCTGCGCCATATTGCCCTGGAAAGCCAAGCTCAGCACAAGGCCAGCTGGCCAGGGCCTCGCGGCCAGAGCAGCCTCCCTGCTCCCGCTGCAGGGCTGAGGAATCTCCCTCTCCTCCCGTGCCTGGAAACTCTCCCCCTCTCAGCAGCCAGGACTGAGGGCTGGGCAGTACAGCTCTGAGGTGCAAGGGGCTGGGAGTCTGAGAAAGCAAAAGAGATGGTGGAGAGTGTGTTGCAAAGGAGCAACTGTCTGTAGAACAAGTGACAAGTAGGATGGAAGCAATTGGGAGACTCAGTAGGTTAAACCTGAATATGTTCATTCAGTTCTGAGGTTAAAGGTCCTTAGAAAGTGCACACAGATTCTGAAACGTGCTGAATGTGCTCAAGTTTCCACTGAAAGAAGATACACAATGCCTGACGCCCTGCAAAATTAGCCTCAGAATGCTTGGGTTTTGTTCTGGTGTCTTGTATCTGTAATTGTGTACTCTTTTAACCATAAACTACTCTTTTACATGTGCATTTAATGCCCTGCTGATAATTTCTGGCCCTTTAAACTACAGTGTTCTTCGGTGAAATAGAAGTATTTGTTAAGAGGGGATAAGTATATTTGATAAATTACAGGGATTAATATGAACTTAAATTAGTAAAAGAATTTAGACTTTTTAATATTTATTTTCTCACTGCTGCTCAGTTTTTGACAGTGAAAGACTATGTTATGGCACTTATATAAATATACTTCAAACAGAGGATCTTCTCAGGGTGGGAAAGGCATCTTTTTGTTCTTACTGGTACTTAAGAAATGCATTTTCAGTAATTTTCAATCCCATGCTACTATTCTCAACTTCGCTCTCGCTTCTGGGATAGCACCACCTAGTGACTCTGGCACGCATGGGAGAGAGGCGCTTGGCAGAGGACACGCACACTGCGAATGCCAGAGCCAGCTGTAAGCAGATGTGGGAATGTGCTGTCACTCACCTTCAAACAACACACCAGAGATGCTGGCAGAAGGCTCGTTTAGAGTCAGCATTACCTAGAGAGATGCAATATGGCCTCCATATAAATTATTAACTTTTGCATCCGCCAGTAATCTACAAAAAGGTGAAGAAAACTATCAAGATATGAATCATAACTTGTGTTTTTTTCTGGCTGGCTGTAGGAATGGAGCCCACGTTGAGGGAGGGGAGCAGATCGAAGCAGTAGGGAGAGAGCGTGCTGAACACTGACGCTACCACTAGGGTTTGGTGTAGGCACGCGCCTTCCTGCAAAGGGAGCAGAACAGCATCACCTTTCTTCACCAAGCAGAGAGGAAGCAGCATGGCCAGCTATACCTTCTGTTCTCAGCCAAATCTTTCATTTGTCCTGCAAGCTGCCAAAAGTAAACCTGGCAACAATCTAATTTTGGAACATGAAGGCCCCAACACAGGATATGGGTGCCAATTACATTGAACATCTGGGAAAAATAGAGCAAAAACATGAAGACTTTCTTTAAAAAAAAAAAAACTACATATGGGTTTTATGCCTTTCTTATACATCATGCACAGGAGGCTATACATAATAATTCTTAACAGGATGTCCTGTACTGACTTGACAGAAAATATTGCTGTGGGTATTTCAGGAAGAGGTAAATGTATTATAATGGGAGGCAGAATCCATCAAATCCATATAAATAGGAAACAAGTAAGGAATTTAAGATCCAAGGTAAAAGTGGAAACAGACCAAGACCACAACAAGAAGTATCTTTTTACTGAATCTTTTTATGCATCTCAGCCAAAACACACAGTTCACTACTGCCATCAAAATTCTCTCTAAAAAACCCAAATCAGATGAGTTGACATGGTTTGGTTGCCTTATCGTGAAATTAAAAATCAGCAGCAACTTAAAAGTATAATCTTTACACTAATTAGGACTTATAACTAGGACACAGCACCTAATCTGCTTCATTTTCACAACAGCTTCAAGGTATAAAATGACTGTCAGAGAAGTGTGTGCAGACAGCCTTGGATGTCTGACCAGACCTAAGTTTTCTCTGCTAGATTCATCCTGCATAACTAAAGAATCTCTTTTACCAGTCTAACAAGGCCTCAGATGACAGAAGCAGATGCAAAGGTTCTTTGTTCCCCTTTTGGGCACAAACAAATCCTACTCCAGCTTAAAGCACATTCCCCCTGCGCATCTCTGCTGCTCCCAGCTGAAATGAGCAGCTGAATTCCTCCTCATCTGCTCTCACCTCCCCTTTAAAGTCTCTTTAGGGGACCCTCCCCTAAAGCATAATCTGGAAGAAGGGAATCCAGAGGCTTTTAATTACAGGAAAAGGACAGAGACAGTGTAAAAGGAATCTATCCTATATAGAACATAAACAGAAGTAGTTTGTTATCAGTTGCACGTGTGCAGAAATGGCTCAAACCTCTGGATTTCTCCAGATGTTCTTTTTCTACATAGGAGAGGTGGGAGGCAAAGCCAGAGACTGTGGCTGGACTACTGAGCATCCAGAAAACCTATAGGGAGAGGCACTGCACAGGCACAGAATCCAATCTACAGTCCCTACACAGTAAGTCTGCAAAGCACTACCCAATGCATGGACACTTATTTCTATCCAAGACGTTTTGGATAGAAACACAATGACCTCTTCTGCAAAGGCGTTAGCAGCACTGACTACTCAACAGATTTCAGTCCAAGGTATGTTTGCCTCCCTGTATTACTTTGAAAGATATCCTTCACATCTATTTCATCATTTCTGGCAGCATAACATAGATTAGCATTTTCATTTCCTGGTTAATCAGGAAATGTTATAGAGATCATGTTGTATTTTTCTATTTAAAATCAACAGTACTATATTTTCATTGCAAAACTCCACCCACTAGCAACTCAATAGCCACAACATAAATACTGGAATTTGCTTTACTCATAGAAATAAATGTCATATTAGACCAAAAGAAATTTGCAATCTAATACAATCCATCCTATTTGGATTGTTCCCTTTTATCACATCTTTTTCTTATCCGTTACAAACAAGAAACACATGAAGTATTGACAGACATTTTCTACATGCACATTTGTTGCTTTCTTGGCATGTATTTGTGGAATTATCATTTGTCCAGGTTACAGATACTCCGGCAGTTACCCATGGACTAATCAAACTTCATCTCACTGTTTCAGTCATGTATACATGCATTTTCATGCAAGTCAATGAGCTTTAACTCAACTGAAGCAATTATTTCAAACGGTTTAGTATGCTTACAGTTTATAAGAAACTTTTTCATGGATTGCATTGTTGCACCTAAACAAATAGGTGTTACTTCAGATTAACTTTATTTAAGTAAGATATATATGACTCTAAGATGCATGACACAAAAATCCATCAACTGAGAACTGATCTCAGCCAAGGACTGACAAATGGCAAAAAAACAAGCAATGCCATACTTTCATCCTTCTCTCACATGGACTTGCCTTATTCATCAGACAACCTCCCCTTCTCTGGAACCTTGCCTCCTTGGTCTACTGGTTAAGAGCTCTAGGGAATGAGACAGCTGAAGAGGATACAATGTTAGCAAAGCTGTGCAAAAAAATACCTGTTTTGGTTAGTGGGCTAGAGAACAGTTGCTGAAGAAGTTTGTTCTCAGATGTTCGCAACACCACCACTATGTCAGCAGGAAGAGTGTCTCTGTTCTTCTCCAGGAATGCACAGGCATCATACAACACCTAGTGTGGGAAAGAGAATCGAACACAGTGTTACACAAAACCCACCATTTCCTTTAAAGCACAAATAGTCAAGACAATTGAGCAGACCTGTCAGTTTGGCTCTGACAAGTCAAAGACTTATCCATAAAGGAGTTCAAATTGTACAGCAGTGTCCTCAGGATACAAAAAGGCTATAAACAGCATCTATATTTGTAGCATGTTATCGCACATCAAATCGGCCTAAATGGTTTGAGTCATGTTGTATTATGCTGTGTCACATGGTGTACATGACACAGTATGGAGAAACACACTAAAACTTGACACTTTACATAAGCAGAAAATGGCTCTCAGATAGTCATCACCTATTTACTGTCTGCAGCAAATTTGGAATCTGCACCCAGAGCTGTTGGAGAAACAGGAGCAAGTTTTATATCTAGGACACATCAAGGTACACTAAAGTGATTTCTCACTGCTTCCAAAAAGATAGTACAAAAGCAACAGGTTCTACAGAGGATGGGAAATCATCTGTGCTGGCAACAAATTGCTCCCGTCTTTCCAATGCTGTCTATAGGAGCTTAAGTACTATTGAAGATTCTATTGTATTGGAGATACTGTTACTTTTGTATTGCATTTTTTTTCACCGTAACTCAATTTCCTTTACATACACATGTACCCATGTACACACAGACACATAGAACCACTGTGGCAGTTAGCTGAAGTTACCAGCCAGCTATGTTAGAATTTTGTAACTTCTGGATCCAGTCAGTTGCTCCTTTAAAAGGAAAAAAGTAATAGCGGTGTTTCTGGTGTCAAGATTCTTTCAGGATAAAAGAAGTTTATTTTTAATGCAATTTAGGACAAATTCTGTGAGGACAAATTCTAAAATGGACGACTTTGCATAGACAATTTTGCCACAAACTCTAAGTGTTCATTAACTTCATATTTTTCCTAATAAAACGTAGGAAAAAATCTTAGATCAATGACTGTGAATAGAATGATCAAACCAATGGTACTTAAATAAAAATCAGATGACCTTACCTTTCCAGCATAGTGCTGAATACCAAATGACAGTTCTACTCCTTTTGGTCTCCAAAAGTATTTGCATCGTAAGTTATCTTCAAATTTATCTAAACATTTGAGAAGTGACATTGATAACAGTGAATTACAGTGATTAAGTAAAATCTGCCTCCTAATCAGAGACAGTTTACAGTAGTTCTGGCTTCTAAAACAGAGACAGCTGACAGGAGTTCTGGCTGCTCAGGCAGCAAATTCGGACACTCTCAGATTGCCCAGCAGCAGCTGCATGCCATTTCCCTGCTTTCTTCCAAGCTGCCTTTCAGAATGGAACAGCCCATTCTAAAGTAGCCCAGCAAGACTCTTCTACATCCCACTTTGTTCAGTTTTATGCACAGAAAATTGTCAAGTAATAGGAGCTAATGAAAAGATATGGGAACTTTTTTTTTTTTTTTTTTTTTTTTACATTTCTATGAACTTGCTTACATGTATTTAGTCTCATGGGCTTTTTTGTTTGCTTTTCCAAATATGTAGATTTAAAGCTGTGCACGCATCTGGCCTGCCTAAATGAGTGTTGCTATTTCTGATTCCCTCATCCTCCTTTCCCCATTCATTTAGTTCTCCATACACACCATGTTTCCCAATTTTCACATTGGGATCAACTCTAATTTGCCTTTGGACTTGTACAGAAAAGACTTCTCCCATCCAAAGAACTTTGTTTCCTATGAGAAACCACTGCCAAGCTGACAGAGAAAGAAACATGGCTTGTTAAGAAAAAGGTCTTTTACATCCTCTGATATTTTACATGCTCTGTAAGATTTTGTAATGAAATTTGAGCTGTTGCTGTGAAAAGTGCTATTTTATTTCTTTACCTGATTAACCAATTGAAGGCCTTGAGGTAGGAATCATTTGATAAAAAATAACCTCTCTCATACAGGAGGTCAGATGAGATTATCAAAATGGTTTTTACTAACATCAGAATCTTTTTTTTTTTCTCTTAGTATTTTCTTTCTATTGATATTTAATCAGACTTCAGTCTCCTTGTATTAAAAGGAAAGAGAGTTGGGCTTGGATTTTTTATTTCTAATAAATGCTTCTCTGGTACACCTGCAGTGAGCAAAATATCCCAGTTTGCTATCATGTTGAGGGGTCCTAGTGTTCTCAAGACATCAGTAATAAAACTGATGAGCACTGCAGCATGGAGGCTGCCTCTGTGAAAGCGTAAGTTCAAAATTCAGTACCAGCTGATCTATAGGGCCCAGGCAGGCACACTGCTTTAGTATGCAAATGAGGACTGGAATGAAATCATCGCATTTATTTTATCTTTGACCTAAAATCAAGTTTTAACTCAACCACAAGTTGACAAGTGAAAAACCTTGTATATATATCATACGATTTAACAGGCAGCTGTTATTCCCTACTGCACATTCCACTGAAGGAACTGGAACTCTGTTACCTATCACAGGGGAAAATGTAGCTCCAGTAAATAAAAACAGGACAACAATTTAAAGGATAGCATCTTAAAGCTGGCACTGAGATATTTTTATACATAAAATAGGCATGAAGGAAGGGAAATATTCCACCAGATGGCACACCAGAAATAACACATACTTTCTATCTACGATGAGATAATCTGGAGTGAAGCAGTATTTTCTAATTGGATAAACATAGGCCGAGGAGCTTGAAGATCTATATTTTACGCTCAACACTGAATCTAACTCATAGTGGTCCTGGACACAAGTTTCTTCCATGACTCAGCCTTTTCTTTAGTAAATAGGGACAAAAAATCCTCCTTGATGTTCCTTGCACACACGGCCACCACACAGGTTATTTCCTTAAAACACTAAGGAGACAATAAAACCCTAGACATCAGGTATGTAAAATAATTTCTGCAATACAAAAACAGAAAACAAGTAAAGCATAGAAGAGTGATGAAGCATAATGAAAAATATACTTAACAGGCTAACAAATGGAAAAGCCTCAATGGTGTAAGTCGGCTAGTAAAGCTAAAGTTGCCATTCTTCGTTCTCAAAATATATTAGTCATTGCTAAGGATTTTTGTTTGTTCATACCAACTAAAGTTAAGTCTGTTGCCTGAGGAAATCGGCTTTCTTCATCTAGCAGAGAAAGGAGGCCCATCGGCTTCTGGAGGAACATATCTAGAAGTGGACGGTTGTCCTCATACTCCACTGTGGTAGCATCAATTCCCTCATTTTGATACTCCATCTACAAAGTTAGTAGCACAATTTTAACCCGGAAGCAGCCAGAGCCACATCTTTATTAGGACATTTGTGACACACAGCAACACACTCTATCTGCTCCAACCACATTGACTGCAAAACTGCAACAACTGCTCTGAAAGATGCAGTTCTTATCTTGCATTATTATCACATACACATTTTATGGTTTATAATGCTTCTCAGTATGTCTAACACGTCAGAACTGATGATTCACACAGACTCAGAGTTGCCTTTACCTGCTCAAGTGCAAAGATGTGTTGATTGAAATAAAACTGGATCTGTTCATTAGCAATATTTATGCACAGCTGTTCAAATGAATTTCTTGCGAAGTTCTCAAATCCAAAAATATCTAGTATCCCAACATGCATTCCATTTTCAACATTGCTGCATGGAAATACAAACAATAATCATCATGACGAGCATCAAGGAAAAAAATTAAAATACATGTAGTAACTAAGATTACATAATCAGTTCAATATGTTGCAAAACAAGAAGACAAAAAGCTTGTGCAAACTTACAACAACTTGTGCATTTTTTCAACATCGTTTACACTTTTCCCTGCACTTTCATTCTCCAATCACAGATACACAGTGACAGATTCTCTGGAACCACAGTAAAACAAATGGTTTCAGCCACAGGATCCCAAACCAAATATATCAGCAGTTCCTCCAGGTGAACAAATGGTGCCAAGTTCTTCTACCATGTTTTTACTACAGCCACACAGCAGAGTAACTGCCAAGTCTGCTGCTGCTACAGCTGCACAGGTAAGTACATGGGCTAGCTCAAGTCTAATTACAGCACAGTCACCACTGGAACTGCCAGTTGCAGTTGAGGACATATCTAGGTGATGCAGCAAAGTACCAACTAGGGATCTCCAAGCCACCTCTACGATCAGAAATAATACTGCATATTAACACAGGACCTAGGCACAGCATGACATTAGAAAGCCTGCTTTGATTCCAGTACCTACGTTCATTCACAGGCTGTCTGAAAATAACAACACATCACATGCTGTGCAGATGTGCTCTGAAAGGAGGCACAGTGTCCTCTCAACTTCTCCTCTCCTTAGCTTTAGCCTAAAACAGGTTGAGTCCAATTATATTCAGAAGCATCAACAATGTCCGTTGATAATAATCAAAGTCCGGAGATATGATAATTCCAAGACACCTCTAGCTATTCCGGCATTGTCTAGAAGGAATGGCCAAGGCCAACAAGATCCTGGGGTGCATTAAGAAGAGCGCCTGCAGCAAGTTGAGGGAGGTGATCATCCTCCTCTACACAGCCCTGGTAAGGCCACATCTGGAGACTGTGTCCAGTTCTGAACTCCCCAGTACAAGAGGGATGTGGAGCTGCTGGAGAGAGTCCAGCGCAGGGCTACCAGGATGATCAGGGGCCTGGAACATCTGCCATATGAGCAAAGGCTGAGAGAGCTGGGTCTGTTCAGCCTGGAGAAGAGGAGGCTGAGGGGGGGACCTGATCAGTGTCTATAAATACCTCAAGGGTGGGAGTGAGGAGGATGGGGCTGGCCTCTTTTCAGTGGTGGACAGCAATAGGACTAGAGGAAACGGCCACAAACTGAAGCACCAAAAGTTCCACAGGAACTTAAGAAAACATTTCTTAACAGTGAGGGTGACAGAGCCCTGGAACAGGCTGCCCAGAGAGGTTGTGGAGTCTCCTTCTTTGGAGATCTTTAAAACCGCCTTGGCCACAGCCCTGTGCCACGTGCTCTAGGTGACCCTGCGTGTGCAGAGGGGTTGGACTAGATGACCTCTGAGGTCCCTTCCAACCTTAAGCATTCTATGATTCTATGATTTTATGAATGAAATAGTTCTGGTAGAATTCAGAACTGCCATCTTTAACCTACATGAGCAATAATTATTCCACAAGTTCTCTCTGTGCTACTGAGGTACTGCTCCCTCCCTGCCATCTCCAGTCTCTCAAAAGGAAGCACGAGTCTTATGGCCAACACAGTCACTTTCCCATCACCTGAAAGATTCTCTTGCTTCTAGAAATATCTACGGTTGTGTGAAAAGAGCAAAGCAGTCAGATCAATACTGGGCAACGAAAATAAAAAAAAAAGTGCCATGAAAATATTTCTGTAATTACCAAAGGTTCAAAAATGTCTAAAATATCTCAAGTAGCAGAACAATAATTACCTGAGATCTACACTTATTACAAGCTTAATGCTGCTGAAGCATTGAAAGGACTGTGAAAACATACTAAAGTTTTCAGTACATTGAAAACATACTAAGGTTTTCAGTACATTCCAATTATTTACCAGCCTTTGGTATGATTTTGATCTTTATTGCATAGAAAGCATCTCTTTAATGAATTGTATAGATTTTAACCACCTTATTTCCATGACTTCAGTAGCTAAATTCCACTCTCGGAAAATGCTGAGGTTAATGTCCTGGAAACAGAATTCAGCATCACAGCATGAAAGCCATCTTGAAGCCTTAGCCAAAATAAACACCCCATTTCTCGTGCACAATCAAAAATATATAAATGGATGAACCATCAAAGACACATGCACAGTAAATATACATGACTCAGTGATGTGTTACTTGCCATATATTCTTATCTGGCTGCAGCAGGGTATTAATACGATTTACGATCCAGCTGAAGAGCCGGCCATAAAGTGCTTTGGACATGGCGTCTCGCACGTCAGCTGCTTTGTCCACCGTGTTTGTTCGGATAATAGTCTCCCCTCGTGTTACAACACAGTGGGAGGTTAGGGCCTCCTGAAGTTCTTCTGACCCAATGCTTAGCAGGGCAGCAGCTGAAAGACAACAGAGAAAAGATGCGTGTCTGGGATGGTGCAGTGGAAACCACTAGCACTTCCCAACTGTCAGCACATGTTAGAGATCCCCGCAAACACAGTCAAACTGCATTTATACAACTGACAGCACTAAAGTGTATTCACCATTGTCTAAGGCTTCTGGGTTGGGAACCTCACTTTTATCTGTTTGGTGTTGTGAAGAAATGGCAGCAAACTCAATGTTTCCAGTATTTAAAATCCCACTCAGAATTCTATACACTGAATGCACTTCCTGTAAAAGATGACAAAAAGCACTTTTATGAAATCAAATTGACCAAATTTAGTTTATGAAAGAAAAAGACTGGTACTGGAATGGGTGTGAAAGTTTGAAGATCATCTAAGACCAAAAGACCATTAGTTCCGCTAATTCAAATAACTGTCTACTGACACAGAAAACGACATGATACAGAACTGTGAAGAGACCTGCCTGAGTAAAGGCTGAAATCTCAGACTGGTTCTGTCTCCTGGGTATGTGGGTTTGCTCTCACAGATCACTTCTGTTGCAAGAGAGGCTCTGTGGCACAGGTGCATATTCATAAAACCAAACAGCAGCCTGGGCACAGGCAACAGCGGAGGTGGTTTTTAGAAGTAAGGTCAATAACAGAGTAGTGACTGGATCTCTTACCTCATCACTGAATCCTATAATTCTAAAACAGTGCTGAATGGCTTCAAACTGTCTTCCATAGGAATCTTTAGTAGTAATATCCTGCATCACTCTTCCAGTTTCATTATCAATATATCTAAACAGAGCAGGAGAAATAAAGTGCCATACTAGTGGATATACCAGTATAACATGCAATGACTTCAACACAACTACATAAGTGGAATGAACATTCATTCAGGTTTCTTTTAATTAAATACCTTGGTGCTAGTTCATACAGAGTCTTTGTTTCTGTTGCATTAATTTTTGCCTCTTCTTTGTTAATATTTGTTCATAGTGTTATCAATATTTTGTCCCAGCCCTAGCTCCACAATACAAATCAGATGCTCTTGAAGCACAAATACTAACTAGAAAAATAAGTCCAAAACATATTTTGGGTTCTTACTGAAATATGTAATGAAAGCAAAATTAGTAATTTCTGGCAACTGCCTGAAATTATCTGGAAATAAGAAAGACTATCTAGACAAAAGCAGCTTTTTTCCTCCCTTTCTTTAAATAGCTCAAGCCCTCAAACAAACACAAATAATGTAATTCCTTATTGTCCATCTTCTCTGCTTGGAAGGATTAAAAAAGATACTTAAGGGATGGAGAAAGATTAAAAGAGATTTTACAGCATCATATTGAAAGCAAGAGCTGATCAACAGCTAATTACAACAAGTAGTTAAAACAAATGAGTGATAGTTACCTAGGAGGCTTCTTTTCTGGAAGTCTGTATTCAGAAAGTTTCCTCTGATGATAAAGGCCAGCATAAATATAATAAAATATATGGAAATTTTTCTCCCCTCTGGGGGGAAAAAAAAAAGTATCACTATAATGCACATGTTTTTATTCTTGTGGTACTTTTGTACAGCGTAAAAGTACAAGTCCTTATTGCAAGCTCACTGAAATAGGTAACAAAGCTCCCACCGGCTTTAAGAGTGTAAGTTCAGACCTACTAGCAGTGAGAGACTGAATACAAGTATTGCATCTGTGAAACACAGAGAAAAACAGCCCATCATAGGTGACCAAGGGTCCAAAATGAGGGCCACTTTCTTTGTAGGACTCTAGAAGCTGTGCACAGTTGTGTGCTGGTATGCTTATTTTGCATAGGGAATAGTTCCCCCCAAGGAAGCAGCAGCACTGGCTTCCACTCCAAAAGAGCACACAGGCTTATGCACAGACCTGTGCACAGGCATAGCACTGTGCAAGGCTTTAGCACAGACCCTCTTGAAAACACTTAAAGCAAAACATTCTGGAAAACTAAGCAAAATCCCATTATGCTGTAAATGTGAAAGGACAGATAATTAATACACCTACACAGCTTGTTTTATGACCCTTGATTTTTCGAGTAGATATTCAGAAATCTTTGCTCCCATTACAGCTCCTGTGGGCGTAAACATCATCTCCAGATATTTTCCAAAGCGACTTGAGTTATCATTGATGGCAGTGCAGGCATTTCCAAACGCTTCAACCAGAGGATTCACCTGAAGAATTTTCTCACGCAAAGCACGGTTATTGGCCTTGACAGAACAGATGCAGATCAGAAGCACCATTAATGTATATACTGCTTACTCACATTGCACCTCCTGCCTTAGCTGCACAGCACCCCTCACTAGATTCACATGGTGTTAGATATGTTTTAACTGTAGTTAAACTACCTACTCACACAACAACAGGGCCATATACTGAAAGGGACAATCTCCCCAAAACAGGAAAATCTGGGCTCTCCTCTGCAACTGTTCTATCAGGGTTCGTATATTTTAATTAAATTGCTAGAAATATGAAAAACTAAACAAGAAATTAACTAAGATCATGATCACACTAACATATGTACTTAAGGTTAATGTTATACATTTGATTCTCCTGTCATTGCACTAGTAGCATTACTTAAAACATTTAGATGTGTGAGTGGAAGTTTCTAAGATAATGCCTGTAGCAAGATCTGACACTCTTTCCTGTACAAATGATCAATGGGATATGTCATAAACAGTGGAGAGAGCTACACATACCAAATGCCTGGAATTTGACATTTTTCTTTTAAAAATATCAAGTGATGTAGAGCACCATCATACTCTAATGCTTTTCTCAGTACTTAAGATGCACAGTCACTCTGTCCCTGACTCAGGTGGTACAGTTCACAGGAAGAGCTTTCAGCACGAAAGATGAGATAAAGTGGAAGCATCTGAGGGAGGGGTGGGGAGAAGTCGTTTGCAGTTTTATACGAGTGGCTAGACTTACCTTTCCCAAGAAGGTCAAATGCTGGACAATCAGATGGGCACTTTCTGTCTTTCCAGCACCGCTTTCTCCACTGATGATAATGCACTGACACACAAAACAAAGTAGTAAGTAGGTAGCTCACCACATGGTAGACGAATAGCCATTTTCAGCTATTACTGTTCCTATCTGTTATCTAATGTTTAGGACCAAGACTGCAAAATACCATCAGGGTCAACTCCCTCAAATCCCTTTTGAAAGAAAGATCAACAGGGACTCAGTGTAATCATGCTTTTATTCCTAGATTACTAAAATGTGCCTCACAATGCCTGACAGTGGCATGCAGATGTGTGAAGGAGCGACTGAAATTCTATGGGCTAAGACACAAAATTGAGTGACCATGTCTAAAAGGTAACATGTGCCACGCACGTATGCAGTTTGCAGTAAATGCCTCAGTCCCTGAGAACCACCATGGCACAGTCCATAGAATATAGCTCAACAGTGTAGCAGAGCTCCCTGCAATAATTTCATTGGAATTAACATGAAATACAGGATACAGTTGTACTTAGAAGACATTCTATAAGGCTTCTCCAGTCTTTAAAAACAACTTTAATGCTTGCTCCTGTGTTGGGAGGTTATCCTGTAGGTGATGCTAACATTCAAGCTAACACAGCAAGCTGGCATCTAAACATTTCGGAAGAATATATATCTGCTCCTGGAATGATTCTGGGAGAGCCGACCCATATTTGTCCGGAGCTGGGAGTTTGCAGCATATGCCATGTTACAGGTTCTCCAAGCTGCTTTCAGACTTACGGATTGGCTCTGAGTGTTCAAATCACTTGGTATCCTCCTTTCCACTCCTGCATTTCATGAGGAGATGGAACGAGAAGGCCAGTAGCGTGACAGCTTTTGAGCAGATCATAGGTCATAGCAAGTAAGAATTCTAACACCATTTTGATTTTCTTGGTTTTCAGGTGTTCAGTAAATCACTGGTATATAAATTAGTCTATTTAAAGTACAGTGTAAACTAACATGTACTTAAAATGTTATTCCCTAGTAGCTGCACAGATTTGTGTGCTTCTGTCCAACACCTGGAAGTTATTTAGACATGGTGAAGATGCAAGATTCTGTGAAAGGAGTGAAGGTTAATAGACACAATGCAAGTTATAAAGATAAATGAAAGTGTGGGGGCATACTATTATATAAAGACAACAGTAAACAATAAAAAGTACTGTTTTTTTGACAACCAACAGATCACATCATTTGATCAGTAAATTTAGTTTATAGATTTGTTTTGTTTTTCCAAGTCAGGTGACAAAACTGAGCTTTGTGAAAAGATTCAACAGAAGTAGTGGTTCTCTGGACAATATTTCTGATAACCAGATATCCACAAAAGGGGGATGATCCATTTTTCCCTCCCCAAACTGCAAATCCTTTAGTTATTTCATCCTTTCCATTTACCATTCCTCACTGTCAACTTTCCTTCCAAGAGCAACTTCTGCTCTGCCATGAACAGCAGTAGGAAAGGGGCAGAGGTAAGTTATTAGAAACATTATCACAGAATCACAGAATAATTACTGGGTACATCAGATATCACTGTACTCCATGTTCCACAACGAATACTGCTGAGCAACATCTTTGGACATCAGGCAACTTGTGGTGCCTGAGAGCAGGTGCAAAAATTGACTCTAACATGGTATGTGCAATATGACACTACAGTTCATTTATTTTCTTCTTGTTCGGTGGTTTTATTCGTCTTGGAAGCGGCTATCTAGTGCTGGATTTACAAGTTGTCATAGCTGATTTAATTGTATTTGTGTGACTGAAGATGTTTAGCAGTAAAACAGTTTAAAATGAAAGAGCCCGTAAGTTCCCACAGAACGCACACTGGCCAAAATTTGACTTCAGCTTTAGCAAAAATGTCATGTATGCTGTCAAATTTCAGGCTTTCAAAAGAAAATAAAAGAAAAATAAATTAAAAAAAGGATATTCAAGAGCATCTTTCCCTAAAGTAGCAACATAAAATTACCCAGTAAACATGCTACTGTTATCTTCCAGAAACATAAAATAGCAAATTGTACATGCCAACAGGCATACCTGAATGCTGCAACTAATTAGCTGCCTCTGCAACAAAGATCTCAGTGCAAATTAATTCCTAAGCAGGTATGAAGGATATGTGCAAATTTTGTAGATATTCAGATATCTACAAAATAAGCCTGAAGGGCTGATGTTAAAATTGATCTTTTTCCCCCACATAACAAGTTATCATGTAATTTATACTATATGAGTATTTGTTTTGTTTAATGTCTCCATCAAAGACCATATAAGACACTACATAGGTACCAGCCATACCTCAAAGCAGTGTACTTCTGTAAACTCAGGAGAATTTCTTTATCTTTCTTCATATTTAACTTCTGCTTTATTAGTCATGTTTGTATGGTATTTTCTCAGTGTGGTTTTGGTTTTATTTTAATCTGCTTTTGTGGTTTTAGAACACATTTTCTATGAATCATTGTGTGGTATTTTGGGAAATATCTCAGAAGTACTTTATAAATGAAATGATTATTAGCTCCCGATATCCATGCGTGTATATATAGCATACCATGCTAAGAACATAGCAAAATTACAATCTTAAAGATATTATAAAAAGGAATCCAGGTTCTGCAGCACTGTATTCCATTGGCATTAAAATCACTGGTATATAATTGGATTTGTGTCCAAAAAGCTTCTTTTAATATATTTTACCACAAAAATAAGTGATCCAAAAGCCAATGGTTCATATTTTCCATGACTTGTGGTCAGAAGAACTGTTATCCACTGCTTAATAACATCTTCATGCAAAAGAAGGATTGAAATTCCGTTAATCTGCCAGAGCACTGAGACCCTCTGTTCCACACCACAGCAAGTAATAACAGTACCTGGCTCAAGGGAGACCAGTATTAGGGTGAACAGCAGCCACCTGCAGCTGGGCTTAAGTGCCACCACTTCATGGGCATCCATAAATTATATCATGTAAACCTAGCATAGCATCTGCCCTTTTATTTTACATTACTCTGTCAACTTAAAAATTTCTAAACTTGACTGGATTTTTACTCTATTTTGTTGTTGCTCTATTTTTTCCCCCAGTACAGGAATAAAAGACTTAAAGAAAAAACTTTCCCAAGTACAATGTAAAACTGCACATCAAACTTGCACAGCAAAACGGCTCTATGATTAACATAAAATCTAAAAGAAGTGCGTGGATTCTTACCTGATCTTTGCTAGATGTAACCATACTTTGGTAGGCAGCATCCGCAGAGGCAAATATGTGTGGGGGATTGGATGAACGCTTCACACCATGATAAAGCTTGGAGAACTAAATAAATTAAAGAAAAATAAAATGTCAGAATACCCAAGTTACATATACATTTAAGAACTGAGAAAGGGAACAGTATAATGGCAATAACTTCTGCCTATTAAGTAGAAGAAAGTTCCCTGTTCTAGCACAGAATTCCCGCTGAATTACCTGGCCAAAGAGTTGTAACTCAGCATTATTTCATTTCCGAACACTAATTACAAAACCTAAAATATACCCAAATTTTCATGCACAAGACTGAGAACTACACTAAAAGGAATAGAATTTCAAGCATGGAACATTCAAACAGCAAAATACTTGAGCCATACAAAAGGAAACTACAAAGACAGCAGGAATTCTAAAATCGTGTCCCTCTGCCTGCAATGCTGAATTAGACACCCACGGGAAACCAAGACTGGCTCCACATCCCTTCTCCCTATCTGCTCTATCTGTAAGGATTTGTTTCAATTCTTTCTGTTTCTAAGCAGCAGCTGATGACAGAGAACACAATAAGCCAATAGTCTCAGGAATTCTTCAGGATGCAATGGCATCATGCAACTATCTGCTGTTTCTGTTTTCCAGGAGAAAGTCACAGATGCCAGACAAGGGGCACGGGTGCAGCTGGGACAATCTTCAATCCTCCTACGGGGAATGAGACCTAACGGGAAAGGAAGGAGGAAGGAATATGATTTGTCATCACTCTTGTCTGGAAGAAATAAAGGCTAAGTTTTAGTTCCTGCTCTCAGCTCCCAACATCATTTAAGGATATCAGCCAGTATAAAATGTAAGGCAAGTACTGTTCAGGTCTTGCAGTCTCTCTTACCTGTGGAGAATAAATGCTGAGATTCTGGAAGGGATTTAAGGCTATTAAAATGTCTCCAACGTAAGTATAAATTTGCAAGTCAGCATAGCGTTTCTGCAGTTGATGGATAATCATATCCTAAAAAAATCACAAAAAAAAGTTTTAGTAGTTAACATGGGGAGATATTTTGTAAGTAACAATTAAGAAGTAATTGTTTCAAGTCTTATTACAAAATCAAAGAAATCTTTCAAAATTCTTGCTGTGCTGTAAAATTAAGTTAAATGTTATATCCTCTTTCCAAATTAGTATATTTTGTTACACTGACCAGAGAAGTAAGCTTCCAAAGAGAAAATGTCCATACAGACTCCTGCTACATTTCACTGTATGCTTCAATTTAATTTTTTATTGACTCATGAAGTCAAGATAATATTTCAAGGATTAATTTTAAAGTGGTAGATATTTTACAAACAGAAAGCTTACTTTTTTTTTTTTTTTATCACATATTCTGCTTGCTGGAATGCAATCTAAAGGGCATAAATTCAGATACCCTGCACACAGGCAACATACTGAAATCTTAAACAGATATTCATTGGTTTACCGCTCTTTTCATTCAGAAGCTGCAGAGGCCATCTACATGTAGAAGCCAAGAATTATAGGAAGAGAAATACTTAAAAATAGATCTTCAAGACTAAATTTCAAATTTTAGGAAACTCATAAAATAAACTGGCACTAATCATAATTACATTCTTGCACATAACAGGGTATTTTACTCCTATTTTCACACCACTATATAAATATTGTTGAAGAGATGATAGCAGAACATGATAGTTCCTTTTCCAAGCTTCAGCATGCACTTTCCAAGAAGAAAAGAAGAAATTCTTCTTGCTGTTAAAAGAGTCTAAAAAGCAGAAATAGACAAAATGTGAGGCATTAATCGTCAGAAATCGTTACTTAGATGTTACAGTACCTCATCTAGCACCTCTAGATTTACCAGATCATCATCTAGTGAGTACTTGTCAGCTCCATCCACATGGTAAGGTCTTCTGGTATGCATTCGTTCGTGCCTGAAGTTAGACAAACAGTACAGACAAGTGTGTTATAAAATTACCTCAAGGAAGGCAATGGAAGAGTAAGAGGCAATGAGAAGACATTAGTGGATGTCTTTTTCATGCAGAAAACACAGGTGCATTCTCTAAAGTACATCTTTTATAAAATCTCTATGCGAACTTGTTGAGTGTACTATCTCTGTTTTCTCTTTCACAATATAGAACTCTAATCTATCATTGCTCAGAGATGAAAATTTACTTGCAGACGTGCTATTCCCTACAGAAAAGTATATTAAAAAAATCTTTCTTTTTCCTCTTCCCTTATAAGTTAATAAAGTACCACTTCATGTAATTAAATTCCCCCCACCCTTTAGCGTTGTCATCTATGGAGGCCACAACAAGTAATAAGTAGCATAAAATCCTCCCGTTACCTTGGTGCATGCCAAAGTGTCTCCTCAGATGACCCTAGATCTGGTCCAAAGAACATTTTTGAACCACAACTGCCATCAGATTCTAAATTGTATGGATGTTCAGTCAGCTTGTCCTTAGAGATTTAAGCCACACAATAAGTAGCAGAGACAAACTGTCACATAACCCCTTTATAATCAGATTATACTGAAGGAATCTTTGAAAATGCTGTGTATATGTTTTTAAACAACATGTCTTGTTTCAGAAAGAAACAGGGACGAATCAAAAGGCTATAATGCATCTTCCACAGAGGGGGTGAAATATGAAGGCTGTACACTTTTCTTTACGACAAACATAATCAAAGCACAGCAGAAGGACACCCACCGAGACACAGCCTGCATCCTGCTGAGTAACATTTAGCATTGATCCTCAGTGACAGTCCCTGACAGCTTGTTCTGCACTGGCTGCCATGCAGAAAGTAGGAATCACATGACCATGCATGTAGAACCAATGCTAAAAATTATGTCAAGCAACACTGGGATGTTACCAGGACACGGCAGGAGATATGGTAATTCTACAAGGAGAGGGTTAACATGAACACTGAGCAGCATTTTTTTTTTCTCCCTATTCCAACCATGACTTCATACACTCATGGAAGCCTATTTCAAAAATAGGTACTGAACTCTTTCTTTCTTTTTTTAATTAATTCTTTTCATGCACTCTACATTTCAACTCAGATTCCATTCAGTAAAGAGAATACTTTCCTATTCACACACAATTATATCATCATGTAAAGACAACTATTGCTCAAAAAGCCTCTGACAATGAGGAAGGAGGAAGAGGGTCAACTATGTCTACAATTTCATTGATAACTAAATTACATTTTAGGATTCTCATTCTCAATGTCTATTTCCATTCACTTCTTGTTTACTTTTCGCTATGGTATGAGTTCTGGAAAAGTACTCTGTAATGGCTGATTTGAATTGTAATTAAACCGCAAACTGTTTTGTCAGCTAGGAAATAAAATACAGACAGTACAGACAGGCCTACCCTGTCTTACATCCTGCATTCTCAAATAGAAATGGTTGTTTCTTTGATGCTGTACATAGAAAGAAATGAAAGATAAAAGCAAATAGGAAAAAAAATTATTACAGTAGTTATTATTTCCAGTGGGGAACATAATGTGAAATTGTTCAAATTTTTGTCAATTAATTTTTACAATTTCAGATTTTCATTTAGGTGCTTTTTTTTAACCAGTAACAGTACTGAGAAACACTGCACTTTGCTGACAAGCCAGAACCTTGGGCAGCATGAGATTGCCTAAGGGGCATAATCTTCTACTTTTCTTCTTGTATCTGTTCCTGGCTTAAACCAGGATTCCATCTCTTTCTCAACTGCAGAGAAGAATGTTGCTGTAGATGACAACATCCATCAGTCCACAAAGGAAGCAAATATTTTAATAACAATAGCTAGACATTGTAACTAACATAGTCATCTGCAGAAGCTATTTCTTCCTAAACCAAACCATCACAAGTACAATACGAAATGGTTGTTGGCTGCAAGTAAGGTTGCATCTACCAAAGGTGCAGGGAGGAGGGGGAAGGGGGCACATTCAAACCTAAGCATCTCTAATTGCAAAATGGCTTTGTAAACTAATCTGTTATCTGACTGATTCAAATCCTGCTGTTTGTTCTCCTTAGGTGATAAATGAATCAATTTTGCTATTGGAGAGCTTTTTAAACTCTGTATAAATAAATAATTAAGGAAACTAGTCTTGGTCAGATATAAGTAAAACAAAGATACCTTTTTGTATATATTTTCTTGTGCTTAACTTATTTTCCTAAGTACATGATTAAGAAGAGGATATTAGGAGAATAGCATCACATTAGCTTCAAATCTCCTGCTGGTCTCATCAGTTTTCTACTGACCCTATGCCCTGCAGATATGTTGACAGAGCGGGTAGGGAGAATATAGCTAGTAACAATTATTATTTTTCATAGTTTTACACCATAATATATGTTCTCTACATATGTATTCTTAAAGCAGAGGCAAACATTCCTTATTGTGGAAATACCTATATTTTTTTTTTTGCATAAAAAAGTAGAATTGCCAGCCTTTAACAATCACCTTTCTCTTTGCAATAACCTATAAAAATGCCCATATTCCGGACAAAAATGATAAAAGAGGGTTATTTGCCTTTCTTGTAATGCTATGAATCATCCCCTGGAGAATGCAGTCTCTCCACTGACTAAAGGGGCCTAATGGGTCGGTTAGTCAAGGTACACAATGTTACAAAACCTAATATCAGATTGATGGCAGAAGTCTGGTGATGAGCACTATCTTTTAAGAAAGGTTTTGCCCTCATGATCACCTTTCCCTCACTTGTTTACCTGGGAGAAATATTGAGGAGGACAAAACCTTCTCGGATTTTGAAGGAGCAGCATTTCTTCCTGAGGAAAAGAACTTCAAGAAGAGGGCAGCAGTGATTTGTTATCTTTGCAGGGATAGTTTGAAATGATCTTTTTCTTTGTACTGAATGCCAGCCATTGGAATGGAAGTGCGCTTCCAAGAGCAGTATGCACAAAATACTGACAAACATCCTTCATCCCCACTTCCACTCCTGCCCTGTAAATTTCTGCAACTTTCCAGCTTGCCCTTCCTCCACAATCCCACTATCAAGGTGAAGATGTTACATTTGGCTTTTACTTAACTTTTACTTTTTACTTTACTTTTGGTCCTATCTTCCTTTTGCGCACCATGTTCTGCGGAGCTCCACTGCAAGTCATCTCTGCTCAAAGGGGCAGCCTGTAACACGGCAAAATGAACACGGTGCTCTGAAACCTCGTGGGAGCAACAGTGGGACTTAGGAAGCCTTAGTCAACTTATGGAGAAAGAAAATCTAAATACACACATCTGTTCTGGAAAGTCATCCTGCTGGGAGGTCCAGCTCAAGGAATAAAGCAATGCTAGCCAAGGATTTTATGTTGCTGGGAAATCTTCTTCCTCAGCTCTTTCCCTTTCACCTCTAACATTTTTCTAGAAGGGAACCTTTACTTTGGCTTCTTGCTGCAAGTAAATACTTGATGTTTACTTTTTTGTTTTTTTTTCTAGACTCACACAAAGAAAAAAAAAACAGTTTCTGTACTCATTTACTCATTCTTCATTCTTCTTTACATTATTACTACTGTTTAGAGGAAGATTGCATTGTACTCAAATTGAGATTTAACACAACAAGAACAATTACTGGAAAACTTGCTACTTAAAGCAGCACAGTCTCTTTGCTGTGCATTGCAAATGTACAGGAGCAAAACATGCACCATCACATTTCAGCCTGGAGTAAAATTTTAAAGCAAGATCATAACAGAAACATTGACACAACCTTAATTGCAACAATATAATTGCTGCAACCATAATAAAATCCGTGTAACCTCCAGTGAGAACATGCACACTCTAACAAGACAAAGAAACGGTTTTGAGGACCAGTAGGTTTTAGAGTTTTTCAAATATAAACCAAAGTCCCCTGATATTCACACAGAAGAACAGTACTTAGCCTACATCAAATCCTGAGTGTTCAGCATTTTACAATCAGAGGACTATTTTTGTTTCTGTTTCTGTTATCATCTCTGAGTCCAAAGGAAATTACTGGCTGGATGCAATCAAGTTCCTTGCAGTTAATTGCTTCAAAACTAAATGTGAGCTGGCAAAGCTGTTGTGTATCCGTTTGTAAGAATTACTTCCTTGGACAGGCTGCTGCTGTAATCCAGCTGGCTGAGGGAAGGGAAGAACTGCCAGGGCATCACAGCCTCACCCAGGTATCTCATGAGGTGGCCTGAACGTACCAAGTCTTCCACAATCTGTTCCTCACTACAGAAACCAGCTTCTAAACGGCGCCCGGCAGCGGCACATTGGCCCAGGACAGTCCAGAACAGTAAACGCACAACTTTTACGGTATATAGTAAACTTGTTTACAGACTTGTTGACCCAAACACCAGAAGTTGGCTCATACTTTTAAAAATCAAAACCAGAGGTCGGTAGAAGAGCTTTTCCTGTTTATTCGTAAGAAATATATTTATAGAGAAGAACATAAGCTACCCAGACTGCAGGGAACCTCTGAGAGTAGAATGAGTCACGTCTGGAGTTGGTCTCTTCAAAGCTGCTGATAACTGGGAAAACAGCCACTATAACCAAAACCATTTGACGTTTGATCAACATTGACTTCCAAACTCCAGCTCAATTATGGGAATTTTAGGTGAGGAGTTATTAATGCCTTGAAGAGATATGGAAGACCATGTTTTTGCTCAACTTAAGCTACAGTGATGCTTGATAGACAGGCATAAAAAAATTAAGGCAACTGATCATTAATATCTCTTTGCTATACTACAATTACTGTAGACTTATCTACTGCATTTGGCATAGCTTATACACCCTCACTGCCCCTGGAGCAGCTTAATACCAGAGATAAATAAATGAAATATAATTAACACTAATACTAAAAATGATATCCAAAACTTTTTTTTATCTTCTAGTACCAGAAAAGATGTACAACAAATACGCTAAATTTCTCTTTAGACATTTCGTATTTGGATCTCCATGAGACATTTTTCAAACACAAGAGTATCAAAAACTGTCAGTGATGGCTTGAGAGGATGTCACCAAGGCATCATTCTTAGACTGCATATGGTTATGAGTTTTCTCCCACACTTCTTAGCTTTTAATGGCTTATTTTCCTTCCTGATGTTCTGCTGCTCCTCCACTCCAAAGACAGAAACAGATCTGCTATTATATTTGAATTCCTCCATATGCCATACTGCTGTGACTTTATCTTTTTCGATTTTCTCCTGTTTACTGGATACAGGGACTTACTATTTTCAGGTAGTTGTAAAACTGATAATTTCTTAATTGAACAGTCAAGTGGAAAAATATGCAGAAATACTTCCATTCATTTCATTCACTTTCACTGATTGTTGATATTTTAAAATTTTCAGTTACGCATTAAAAATCACTACATTTTTATATTAATCCTACTCATACAGGTAGGATTAATATAAAAAATCCCATTCATACAAGCTTTGGTTTTGATGAAACAAAATAGATGTTGGATATTTTGGATAATACTTCTAGAAGGATGCAAGCAATTTACGCAAGGAAAGGCTAGAAAAACAGCTGGATTACTGGAGTTTCAAATTTGAGTTTCCCTTTTAAATGTTCCCATTATAAGCTCTATGATCTCTTTAAACATTACCTGTGGACCTTAATATACAGCCTACCTTAGAGGATTTTGGGAGTCTGGACTTAGGTGTTTTTTGTTTTTGTTGTTTATTTTCTCCACTGCTTAAACACTGAGCCAACCACCAGCTTTGGATTAAGCCCTGACAAGCATAAAAAGATGAGGAATTTTGACTGGGTTTATAAATAAACTCCAGGGACCATGCTCCACTCTGCCAATTTGGTCAGCACAGAGTCATTTAACATCTAGAAATATTAGAAAACAGACTAAGCCCCATATGACTTCTTCCTTCAGCAGGCTGGCAATCAGCCTGGATGCCAGAATCTCTTGTACTATGAATCAAAAAAGCAACTGACCACAAAAATGAGATCAAAAAATATGTTCAGAAAGTGAACAGCTCTCTTTTACAAAATCTCCCTTGGCTGATTATCCAACATACCCAAACACTGTGTAACAAAACTATTATCTAAAGAAATAAAGCAAATGCTTAAGGTTAAGTGAGAACCATACCCACACTACAATGCATCTTGACCAGCATCTTTCCAGCCTTTAGGACAGAAAGAGTGGCATAGAAAATGGCTCGAGTTTCAGGTGCTATGCATTTTTCTCCTCAGGAAGAGGTCTCCAGAAACCAAAGGTACATGAGGTGCTTTACTGATCAAAAACTGACTTGAACTTGCTTGTGAGCCTGGAAGCTGGCAAAGCGGCTCAGCGATACCTGTGTATTGTGCTCCCTTCCACTGCGGTAGCTAGAACTGTGCTCTACTGCTGGCTTAGCCCTTTATGCACATGTTGTTTAAATCTAAATAAATAAAGACAAAGATGCTTACATTAGCTTGTACAGCCCATTCTTCCACAGTAGCTCCTTTACAGTCTTAATAATAAGAGAAAGTTTAGTCATGAATAAATTTAAATGAATCTGAGTATACTTTTATTGAGGTAAAGCAAGACTAATCCTGTCAAAGCTGGATAAATGCCTGGAGGTTTAGCTTAGACTAAGTCATATTGCTTCCCACCCTGCAATCACACCTTTGCATACAGTGTGGTCAGGCCACAAAAATAGCTACCATTTAAACAGCCTCAATGTATCTGTCACCCAACAGGAGTCAAGTTATTATACATCCTACCTCCTCAGCGTTTTTCTTCTAAGTAAAGGTACGGCTAGAAAAAGTGGATCACCCCAAACTGAGAGGTTTGGTCTCTTTTGTTGCTATCCTGCACTCCCTCCTCGAGCTGACCAGCTCAAGATGCTAGCAGACAAATAATGCAACCAGTAGCAATAGACAAGCACAGTGGGTATCTTCCTCTTGTCCTTCCACCAGCCTGCTTCCAGTTCCTGTTGAGTACCTCACAGAGTAACAGTAAGAATCACAAGCAAGCACATAACATCTCTAAATCAGCAGGACTGAATTCCTATCCTGCACGCTTGCTCTCAAGCACAATTATCTTAACCAAGTGCCCAAAATAGACTGAAGTAGGATGGTTCACACTGAGCAGAGAATCCTGCAAAGAACACGCAAAGGCTGACTCATTAAAGAGCCAAAAGATGCAAACGCAAAGCCCTCAGTGATCACTTCACGACTCCTCGGCTCTCTTCAGGACTCAAGGGCTGTTAACAGCTGTGTCCTGACTCTGGAGATTTTCAGCGTGTCCTCTAGGTAGTGTAATGGGAGAAAATGTTCCTTACTCATCTATACCATGATCACAGATCATGACTGATATATAGTGTTGCTATACTATTAAAAATGGCATCTACATTTTTGTTAACATATTTCTCATTAACAGCAAAGAATTAATGCATTTTTTCTTGTACCTGTCATGCACACAGTAAAATCCAGAAAAAAGAGCATGCTCATATATTCAAAAACACGGTATAAAGGTTTTACTCAGCATGGGTTTTAAATGGTCCCCCCCCTCGCCAAACAACAGAAATCACCCTCAACTTGAAACTGTACTTGCAGCCATTCTTATATTTAACTTTTGCATTCTGGAGGGAGCTTTGAGCATTTAGGCTAGAGTCTAAACGCATACAAGTATATGCATGTTATGAATTCTGAATCACAACATTTGATTTTCCTCATAAACATTAGTAGGTGTTTGCTTATATTAATGAGGCAGAGCTCATCTTGCACTAGAAAGATTTTTGTATCAGAGAATGACTGCTGAGCTTGGGACAGTGTGTTCATTTGCATTTAATTCTATTTCAAAACAGTGAAATTCTGCCACCCTCTGGACAACAATCAAAATAAAACATATTCACAATCAGCCTCTGCACTGAAAAATATCTTCTGAAGCTGTGGAACAATCACAACCTTTTAAGCAGTTTTGAAATTACTTATTACACTGTGTAAGAAATGGTATTTCTTATTAAACTTGAGACAAGATAATTGTTCTTAGTACTTGCATAGCGTCTTTATATTAATGCTCTACTTCATATTTATTAGATACTAACAGTATCTTAATAATGCATCAAATAAGCATATGAAAGAGTAAATATCTGTGCATTCCAAATTACAAACTGTGCTTCCAGGGTAAGTGCAGAAAAGGAAGGTTGAACAATATCCAACGTACAGTACCTTGTTTTGTCTGCAGAGCCCAGCTGCTGCTGTTCTTGGATGAGCTCAGCCAGCTGTTTTTGCAGAGACATATCTTTACCATGGACTTGTTTAATAAATGGATGTTCTAAAAGGTGGGTGACTGAAGGACGCTTTTCAAAGTCCTTAATAAGACACCTATAACAGAGAAAGAGTGGTCTCACAGCAATGATGTCATTTGATTACAGCATGTTGACAGCTTACTATACAATTGTTTCTTGTTGCTTCTTTTCCCAACTTGAGGGAAACTTGAGCTCCTCAGCACACCAAGGAACTATATTTATTTTTCTGTTACAGTGCAATAAATCTAGCACAGATACTTAACTAAGCATATTCATTCTAAAACTACACTAGTATAAAGTGTATGAAGTTGAGTCAGTAAACTTATTTCAATCTTTTTAAAAAAACACCAATTTACCATAAAAAATACTGCTGTACAGTTAATATACATTAAACACTGCCAGAAACCAACAAGTAGCATCTCATTCAGTCTTTTTCTAGTGTTTCTCCAATGAGCGTTTTGAACAAGAACTGCAGGATACAGCCTAACGAAAAACACAAGCGGAATTTGTGATGAAACACTAGTCAGAATGATATGAAAAATTTGTTCTGATTTAATATGAATGTTTCAGCTAGTTGTTACAGATTGTAATGATAAGTGGTAGTGTAAGGATTACAGAAATTTTTGCTAGCACACATAATTCAGACTGGAATAGAAATAAGTAAGTAGGGATTTAAATGCTTGCCAAGGTAACAAAGTTCTGTTTGTGATAGGAACAGGTGATCTAGTAATAGAGAGATACATCCTATTTATTAGGACAAAATAAAATGTCATGCCAATTTGTATAATCAAGATTTAAAATTGAGGAGGTCAAGATTAAAATATAATTATTTTCTGTACAATAAATTAGAAATAATACATTCTAAATAGAAAAGTGATATAATGGGATAAAACATCTTCAGAGTGTCCTCCAATTCCTCTTTATATCATTATACCTTACTCAAAGGAATGATTAACATTCTTTTAGAACATGAAAAAGGAAAAGTGCCATTCAATCTAAACCTCAATTTTGCAGCCCATGATGACTTTATATGAGAATGAGAAGCATTCATAATAACACACTTTACAATCACATTTCATATTTACTAACATTTACACTGTTATTGTATGCATACATATATGTGTGAAATTCTTGCTTAACATAGGACATAAATCACAAATAAAGATTATCCTTTTTACCCTGAAGTTCAGTGAAACTTCAATGTCTTTTACAGTAATGCTGACAGTATCAATAGCAATTAAAATTTTGCAAGCTTTAAATTATCTCTAAAGTATCACACACATTCAAAGATTTTTAAAATTACTGAATATAAAGCTCAGGCTCACCTTAAATACTTTACTGAGGGCTAAATTCTGTTCTTACAATGATCCTGCAATGCCTTTGGGCATAACTTGAACATGTTAGGTTCTTGAAGACCATTTTTCCAGCCTCCTTCCGCTACATCACACCCAGAAAAAACAGTCAGCAAAACCTGCTGTTGGTTTTGTACCTATTATGGTTAATTTTGCTATCAGTTAGAACTGGTGCCTCCTGATATAAAAACTAAACCAACAGAACCTCCATTATCTCCATTCCTGTGAGCACAAGACCATAAATACCACTCCTGCCCTCCCATGGAAAGAAATCCATCACCAGCCTTTAGCAGATTCTGACTTCCCCTCTCTTTCTTTTGTTATCCATGTTTTCTATTCAAGTCAGTACACCCACACATACACTATGATCCATGCCAATCCTCATTGTATTTACATTTCCTAAAAAAAAGAGGCAAGAAGCATGTGACGAGAGAGACACCATTAATCTGAAAAGGAAAAAAAAGAAAATATTGTGCTGTATATAGAAACATGGATTGATGGCAAATGTCTTAAGTGGAGATTTCCTTCTGAAAAGTTCCTAACTCATGGATTTTTACCTCTTTAACAGTAATTATAAATCACATAAAGTAATCACAAATTACATACAGTATTATGCACGCTATATTGTTAAGGTGCAACTATTCCTGTTACATTTGAATACATTTGGGATAGTAATGCAACAGAATCCAACTGAAGATATGTCATTACTGCTACTTTTTAGATAACAAAACCATCAGGTTTTGGCTGGAATCTCTAGATGACACAGTTCCACACAGAATAGCCAGTGCTTACCTAAAATGCTAAGAACATGAAAAGCATTTGCCCTGTGGTGCAAAGATATGGAAATAAATTTGGAAGATCAGTGGATCTACAATGATGCTCTATCGACAAGATCCAGAAGTAGAATCATATATATTGATACATGTAGAGTTGCATAGGTGAAACAAACACACAGATGTCCAAGATCCCCAAGTCATTGAGAAAGTCTGGTAAGAATGGAAACTATTCTTCAATGGCTTTGCGATTGTGTGCTGACATGCAACCTGTTCAGGGTTGGCATGTATTTTAATGGACACGGGTAAGTTCTGCCAGGGAGGAGGCTGCCTAGATTCCCTTCTGTCGCCAGCGCCCCCCTGTTTATTCATTTGTGCCACTCCTCAGCTTCACAACTTCCGAAGAGGTTCATATATCATTTTACTCATATGCAACCTTCTTTCTTGGGCAATAAGGTATTTCAGGGAACAGACTGCCAGAGGAATGCAAACCTCCACTGAAGTCAGTTTAATCCATCCAATTAAGATGGATTCCCAGCAAGTTCCTAGCACACAAGGAACACGGCAGTGGAAAGGTAACACAGGCCATAAGGAATGAAAGTGCATTTAGATTAGCACACTTCTTTTTGCCCCGAAACCGAGTGGAAATATTGACCCAGCCAGTTATAGAAAATACTCCTTATTACGTCCCAAGGCCTGTCACCAGCACCCAGCTCAGTGACAGCACCTGATTAGCTGTCCCTAGGCTCAGTGCACACTTACACATTCAACACCAGTTTGGTCTGCTGAGGCTCAGTGCAGGTGGTACCACATGTTTCTCATTTTGGTACATATTCCCATTTCTTCTCTAAGAAGACAAGCATTCCAAGGAATACTGTTTCTGCACTGGGTCAGCTCCACTGAGCCATGCAGCTCTTAATGGCACACTGAATGCATACTGCTGATCTTAGCTAATGCTAGCTGGAAAAGACCATCACCCACGTACGAGTGAGAAGAAGAAGTTACCAGGTTGCCAGGCTCACTTCCAATGTCTAGAGAGACATCACCTTCTGCACTGGTAGCAGGGCTGCCACTCTGTATTAATTACCATCAATGGGGAGCCCAAGCAGAGAAGCAGCAGAGTGCTGAGGAGTTTTCCTCACTTCTGAGGAATGAAGAAAACGAAAATATCAGAAGAAAACGAAAATATCATCAGATGCTCATCTGAACACACATTTCAGATCAACATAGACAGTTAGATTAGGCACTGTCAAACATCAACCATGGTGTAATTATATACGAAAAAAAGAAATGCAGTGCAGCTGCAAATGAAACCAAATTGTTTGTCCAATTAAAATACATATATATATATATAAAAATCTTAAGTTGTGAGAATGTCTTGCACTAAATAAACTGAGTAAAAAAATCTACTATAAGACATGTTTTACATGACATATGATGAAAATAACAGTCATAACTGGTCTATTATTTTTTGGATCTAAAATGTCAAGCCTTAGCCAGTCGAGAATGAAAATGAAACAAACATTTTAACATGTTGGCCTTGGGGAAAGTCAATCCAATACCTAATTTGAAATTCTAGTATCTTCCATCATGCTTTCTTAGCTGAAAATTAATTCTCAGAATTCATTAGCGTCACTACATTAAACATAGGTTGCAGCCATTTGCTGCAATCTCCAGCTAAGCTCCTAAGCACCATTTCCATTCTGCCACAATTACAGGCAAAGATGAAGCATTTATTAGCAGGGAATAAGAACAGACTCCCATACACGCGGCCTGCCTGAGCCTCTAAAAATTCACCGGCTGCTTGCACTCGGGTGATAACATTGTTGGACTTGCTGGGTCTCAACAATGTAAACTGCCATTTGCAAGCAGCAAATCAGATGACTGAGAGGGGAGCTATTTATTAGCATTCATGAGCTAATATTTACTAATGAATAAATGGAAAGAAACAGATTTTGTAAGAACTGCAATGGTGATCTAAATCTCCTGTGTGTTCAGAAACAGAAAACAATTACTAATGCAATTCATTATTGCAAGCAAACGTAAATGGAGCAGCAATAGTATTTCTTTTAGAAATTCTTTCATCAAATCCATTATGATGCTTTTGGTCACAAATATTTTCCTCAAAAATAAAAGCAAGCCAGTCCAACTCTTAGAGCTTAGGTATACTATAATTTATCCGCAGTATCTTTTCTTCAATTGTTTAATTTTAAGACTGCTAGATTTTCTGTCAGCCTTTCATCTACTGGCAGTGAATTGCTGGAATCTATTTTGTTTCATAAACTGAATATTCAACCATATATCTAGCCACTGCTCATCATCTGCATGCACAGAAAACGTCTCAGACTCAATGTTAGAGTAGGGGAACCCACAGCATCTGGCCTAGACAGAGAAAGTGTCCAATCTGTTCAATAAATAGTGACATAAACTGTTCTCAGGCCCCGCTGGTGCCCCTCAGCCACTCACGCCCATGCTCACCAGGGTGCTCTGCTCCACCATCCCTTCCTATCTCAGCTCGACACTGTGCTGCCCTGCCCTCTCCATGCTTCCCACTGAAAAAGGGAGTTTCCATGCAGTAACAGAAGGGCTGAGTTTGGAATGGACCTCTGGAGATCACCTAGGTCGATCCAGGGACTGGAATAGGGCTAGAGACCTTCCTGAGGGACTGGGTTCCTCTCCTCCCAAACCCAGTAAAACATTAAGTTATTTGGTTTCCCTGAGAGCAGAGATAACCCCTCAGTAACATATTCGGAGAGATTTCCCAAGGGGTGGAAAGAGAGATAACATATTTTCTTGTTCCTCTCTCTCTAATCTGAGGCAAGGAAGATGATGGTCTCTAGATTTTGAGATATTTCTTTTCTTCTCCATCTTATCAAATTTTTTTTATAAAACAAAATTGTCATCAAAGCAGTTACGGTTTTGTGGAGATTTCTCCAGGACAAAGGCAGCAC